TATTTTTGGCCGAGGAGCTCGCCTAATTTGGTAAGTCGTAGTGATGTATTTTGGGTAGGAGGTGAGAGGATGGTATTTTCTTGGTGTAGGATCTATCTGTCAAGCTGTGAAGTTTCTTACATTCTTCTTGTTTTTTGTTGTTGACAAATAGTAGTAGTCTGTGAGCTCAGACTCTGAGTTGACATGAAATAAATCATTCTTTGTCTTGATCAAAGGCAACATCAGCTTCATGGTTATTGGAAAGAGTTAATTGCTACATTACCAGCTGGCACCTACTTTGTTTTTTCCAGTTTCTCCAAGCATATTGTATGTTGGTTTTTTGTTTTTGTTTATTTCCCTAGGACTAATGATAGGTGTGCCTACATATTTGTCATATTGTGTGTTGCCAAATTGCCATTAGCAAAAATGGCATGTCATCAAACAAAAAGTCTTTTTAGGGGTGTCATCGCTAGATGATGAGGATGAATAGATGAGCTCACGATGTCTGTTTCATTGAACGATTTAGTCATGCATAGCATTGCCAACAAAGAATTTCTGTTAAAACAAGAGTGATTTTTCACATTGCCGCAATAGAAGGAGTGAATGTGCTATGATCGACCATGCATGACTAAGAGTAACAAACCACTAAGGACAGTAATTAGACAGTTAAAAAAAACAAAGTTGATATTCATCCCTGACTGATTACAGTACAGGGCCTATGTAAGCGCTTGTCTAAAGCTAGTATGGTCCCCAGACCTTGCGTTTTATGTTTTGGCACTGACAAAGGTTTGTACTTGAAAACTAGACAGATGAAGTACACTCTGTGTCTTATGCAATGCACTTTAAATATAATGCCATATGGATGATGGTGTTTTGAGAGAAAGTTCAACGAGGTCCTTAGATAATGCGGGCAGGAGTTGAGAGTGCCCAGCCTTAGTGCTGGAAGTCATTCAACTTTCTGTAACCTTTCTCATTGGTGCCAACATTGTCTGTCTTCTTGAAGAGGCAAATATCATGCAAAAGGGGAGAGAGATAGAGAGAGAGAGAGAGGGGGGGAGAGGGAGAGGGGGAGAGGGAGAGGGGGAGACAAGAGAGAGGTGGAGAAGCAGAAGAAGAAGATGAAGAAGAAGAAAAAGTGAGAGAGAAGGAGAGGGAGAGGGGGAGACAAGAGAGAGGTGGAGAAGCAGAAGAAGAAAAAATGAGAGAGAGAGAGAGAGAGAGAGAGAGAAATAACGATAAAAATCAACTAACAGAAAGCTAGGCATATAGAATATAGAGATTGAAGTGAGATAAAAATATAATTTATGTAAGATATGAGAGAGAAAGAGTAGGATTGTAAGAGGATGGAATAAGGAAACTAATGTCAAATAATTGGGAGTTGTACCAGTGAGAAAGACGGAGGAAACCCATTCTAGGCTACACATGTAAGCACTGTCATTTGGGAAAACGATAAATGGCTTTTAGGTCAGTGTACTTTGTATCAGTCTGTCGCCACTTTGCTTACCTACACATATGTGTACATACTGGATAAATGTGCATTAAGAATTAAAATGATTCATACAACGTGTAACCTTCCAAGGCTTTATTTTTCCATGAATGCTTCACTGCAACTAGATCAGTTGATAATTCCACTCTGTTCCAACTTTTTGTTACTTATTGCCTATTTTATGTGGTGCTGAGATTGAGAAGGGTGTTAATGCACTAGTATACTTAAAGATATATAGACTGGTAGTTGTAAAAATTGAGGTTCAAGGGTTTTGGGTGCAAAACATCCATTCAATATTGTTAAAATATTGCCTTCAGAGGTTTAGAAGACAATACTTCAACCTAACTTTGCAAAAAAGCAGAAATATATGCCCAAATGTTCGATGTTGAAGTCTATCTATCCAGGCCATATCGATATGATAATTTACCAAATATATCAATTAGTAGGTGGTTTCACGGCAAAATTTGTATCATCACATATTGGTCAAAACATATTCTTTCATATGATTGGTAATAAGAGCTTCCATTTCATTTTTTGAGAGGGGGGCGTTTCCAAAACTGGTCTATACCTTTAATATACAGTCAACGCCCTTACTGGCAAATCATCCTTTATTAATCACTTGGCAAGTACATGATGTAATGACAGAAAAGGACGTACCAAAGACAACCTGGGTTTCATTAATGTGCTTCCGATCGACCTTCTGGCGGAGAGTTTCGAACAGGAAATACCGTATCACATTGCATGAAACAGAAAATGTTTGATTTGAATAATTGGCATTATGCACCAGGAGAGATACATTTGTTTCACAACAGATGACATTCAAGGTTTAAAGTCAGTATTATTGATTTGAATAATAAATTAATTCGAAGCTGATTTGAATAATAAATAATTCAAAGCTGATTTGAATAATAAATTAATTCAAAGCGTATTACCAACATAGTAACTAAGTATCCAAAGTTTGTAAACTCTGCTACTCTGTATGAGTGGCATGATAATTGATAGAGAAAAGAGAAGGGGAGGGGGCTTAGAGGCCCCAAGTTATAGAGGCCCCTCACAAATCTGTGCCCTTTCTTCATCTATCACAAGACCAAACAGACATCTTTATGTCGTCTCCGAGAGTGGCTCTAAGTATATGAAATGACAGGACAACTATCCTCTTGGCCCTGACATATAGCAGTACGTTGAAGAGTGAGCAAAGATTTGTGAGGGTGCCTCTTTTCCATTGGGGTGGGGGTGGGTGGCTTACCAGCCCCCTCTCCCCTATACATTTCCAAAGATACCCTTGTTTGCATTTATCAGTCTTGTTTGATATCAGAACAATAATTTTTCAACAACAAAAGTTGTCAAAATCCCCTTCTAGGTATTCTTTATGGCATGGCTTACAATTTGAGATGGAGAATAGCTACCTATAATATACACTTTACCAATTTATTGTACTTTCAATTATTTATTAATGCTTCTGTGTTTGCACCATTCAGACTGCATGTGCACACTTTTTGATAGCAGTGAAAGTTGACAACTTTGGTACCATAAGTAGTTCTTATGAATGGGCTAAATTCTTTTGAAGCATTACTCCTTTTATCTTCGCTAAATCAATCATCACAAACTTTTAATATTTTCTGTCTTCGCTTACATTTTTCATATTTCTTTCCTTTACTAGTGTGTACATTCGAGTAAAGTCAATGCTTTGAGGCTCCGTATTTCAAGTTTTTTTCAGAATATATATTTTCAAAACATCCCTAATATTAATGGACTTAATTTGACAACTTCTTTAGCCCAGGACCAATCTGCCCCAAGGACCAAATTGATACTCCTTGATTTTAATCTTAATCCTGCATAATTTGTCTTTCAAGATATTCTAAACTCCTTTTTATTTTGTTACTTAATTGGTAAGCAAAGTAGTAGCATTAATGTACCAGTCTTTAAGATCAAACAAAATCATCTTAAGATTTATTAAAATCTTGACAAATTTCATTATCGGCTAGCATGCTTCCTCCTCGACTCATTTAGTCCTTCTAAGAGATTGGGTATCTTTGCCTCAGATTCTAAACAAAATCCTGGATTTAGCTCATGCTGCAATCATAATTATAAACCTTAAGGTCAGTCAGGAATCCCATGACTCATGATTGGAATTTGAAATTTCAAAAACCGTTTTCCCAACGGTGTTATAACACTACAGTCTACTGGGGGATATGAGTATGGTAAAACCGGTCACTCAAAGAATTTTACTTTTTGAGGCACTTCATGATTATTTTAAAGCGCAATTTTTTTAGGGTTTTAATATTACACCATATCACAGACACTGATAACACGTAGGGTCATGCATCTCAGATTTGTAAAACTGTTAAACAATGCCTTCAAGGAAGCACGGAGAAGCAATAAATGTTGGGTACCTCCGAAACTAATCTGGACTTTAGAATGACTTCCTCGATGTTACAGCCCAAACTTTTGCCCCTCTAACAAACATTAGGAAATATTTCACGTTGTCAGGAAGTTCTTCATCATGGAGAATTAAAGCTAGATCATCAACGTATCTCGATAACAAAGGCATTTCTTGCTTCTCATAATATGGCTATTTATAATTCCAGTGGATTCCCAGCTGATGAGGACATCATAGGAATTTCACTTTCCTTCTCGAAGGTCAATTATGTTGTATGGTCAATGGTACACTTCAGGGGAATGTGACACTGCCCCAATGCCATTTTACACTAATGGAAAAACCCATACAAAATGTTGGTGTTTGAAATTATTGAAAACTTTCATAACTAAAACACTTTAATATTTTGGGAGACATTCATTTCACTAGTCCAATAATAAATTAATAATTCAAGGTGTAGTCCAATATACTTTATCAAGTATTTCCAACGAAATCAAAGCAATATATGAATTTAGAATAATGATCTACACTGCAAATATATGTTAATTCCTCTCTTTATTTCTGCTGACATGTCCCTTTAAATCTATTCCAAGTGACCTGTGACCATCCTATAGTCCCAGTCCTATTTATGATGACAATGACCAGGTTGTGTGGTTAATGACGCAAAACTCTTTAAGTGGGCTGACATTCCTCTTCCTGTTTTCATATGCAAGAGAAATGATATTATCTTTTATGATTATATCAAATCAATGTTCCATTATCAATGTTATAACTTTGAGACCTAAAGTGACTTGGTAACATTGCCTCAGATTCTGAAACAAAATCCTGGATTTAGCTCATGCTGCAATCATAATTATAAACCTTTAGGTCAGTCAGGAATCACATCACTTTTACAAGCCGATCGCCCGTCTGATTATCAAGATAATAATTATCGGAAATTGAATTTCATATTTTGTTTTCCTAACAATTTTTATGACAGTACAGTCTATTGGGGAAAATGCGTAGGGTAAAACCAGTCACTCAATGATTTTTACTTTTTTTGAGGCACTTCATGATCATTTTGAAGCATTATTTTTTTAGGGCTTCAATATTACACCATATCACAATATCACAGATAACACGTAGGGCCGTGCATCTCAGATTTAACATTGTTAAACGATGCCTTTCAGCCAAGAGAGTCTGTTTCCAAAGTCGTGCTGGACGGAGATTGGTTGTATGCCCATCCAACTGCCCACATGTATGAGTTTTCCAGTTTATTTTGTGTACCTTTTTTCATGAAATATATTTTACGAGCCTGATGGACCCATCTGGAGGATGAAAAGCATTCTATAGCAGAATGCTCAAGAACATTTCAATTATAGAGAAGGATGAGAGCTGGTTATCTTTATGTCAAAGGATATAGGAGAGCATTTATGGCTATCGGCATAATGATTTGTTATTCATCATTCATGCACTTTCTATATGGCTGATATCCAACCAGATACGAAATAAAATTGTCTCATGTACAAAACCCCTTCATTTGGGAGTGTTTGGGGCAGAACTGCTCAGAATTCTGACAGTGAGGACAGTGAAATTGTGGTGGATCAAACTTGTACTGTACTGCAGGGGGAAGGTGCGCTAAAGCTTGGACTTTCTGGCTCTTTCGTTAAAGAAGATAACTTAATGAATGCATTTACTTCAAATTTAGCATTGATCGTGAAGTGTCACTACCAATTGATATGCATGGTTACTTATTACCTATCACACATCACATGTATTTTATTGCAATGATTCCTTACATTTGAGAAAGTTCATTATTTTACTTGTTTTTTCTTGTTTTGTACTTAATTAACAACTTTTTTTTTTCTTTCTCTTATTAATTTTACAGGTTATGACAACATGTCTACCTCAGTCTCCCACGGTAAGTCTTTTATATATTTATATATTTTTTTAATTTCAACAATTTTTCCCCTTCTCAACCTGTATCCCTAGAATCCACAAAATGTGTACAAAGAAAATGTATGAATTACTGTGATCCTTCTATGTTGCAACATTTGTAATTTCTACTTCTATAGCCAGAGTTAATGTATATTAAAGTATCAGTCTTTGTAGGCTCTACATGACTGTATACCTCTCAAATGTAACCATATCATTGCACCACCTGACCTTAAAAGTATATCTCTATATTTAGTATCACATATTATTAGTATTCAAACAAATACAACCTCCCTGTCTAGAACATCTGCTGGTAGTGGTAGTGATACCTTATTGACCCCCAATATGTAGCATGGTCATCATCTGTTTAGAGCCAAAGGGGCATTCACTCATATGCTTTAGCACAGAAGTAATGCCCTTCTGGCTCTCAACTGACAATATTATATGTGGTCATTTTTTTTATAGTTTCATCTGTCTCCATCCGAGAACAGATGTCCCGTTATGGACCATTTATTGAGATTGGCAGTTGTTAGGAGATCTCCGTAGAACTTTATGCCATCTTGGGAATTTCCAAACTACTGTTTGGCTTCTCAATGAAATTTGGTTATAGTACAGAAATTTAATTTGTCTTTGTTTGAATTATCCTGTCATCATTTCCTTTAGTTTTAGAGGTTTTTATATAATCTTTAAAGAAGGGTAACATGCATTAGTTATTTATATTTATATGATTGATCTTATTCCTAAGTTTTATTGCCAAACAAACAAGTTCAATCCTCATTAAAAGTGAAAAAGAAAGCAGAAATATATATTCAAAGCATAGAGATTTGAACCTAAAGCATTTGATTTGTGCCAGACAGGCAGACATTTATAGTTTCAGGTTGAAATAAAAGGATTTTTAACCTGTCTCTATTTTCTTTCCTAAAGGCATTGGGTATGATTTATGCCTTTTTGTATTTTCTTGATATATTTGTAGCAGCTTCTTTGTATACCTTGATTGATATGTCATTGACCGCTCCTCGCTGCCTTATTTGTTCTTTTTACTACCAAAGGTGTCAAGCGGACAAATATTGCAGGCACTCTATCTGACAGTACTTCAACAAACTATTGTCCAATATCACTTTTGCTTCCAAAAGACTTTTATGACATTTTATTATTTTGAAAATGATATATTGTTGAAGGTTAAAGACAAGCAAGAAGCTTTTATTTGTTATTGTTTTTACAAGAAGGATTTTTTTTCTTCTGAAAGGGTTATATAAGTAGGATCTTAATTGTCTTCAGCATTCTCCTATCCCCCCCCCCCTCTCTCTCTCTCTCTCTCTCTCTCTCTCTCTCTCTCTCTCTGATCATTGCCTTGATCCTCTCTATTTCTCTCTCTCTCTCTCTCTCTCTCTCTCTCTCTCTCTCTCTCTCTCTCTCTCTCTCTCTCTCTCTCTCTTTCCCCCTCCATTCATCTAGGTTCATGCTCCATCCACCCCGTCTCTCTACCATAAATCATAGTACCGGTACATGTTTTACCCTTGACAGTGTTCCTATAATATGGGAATGACACATATCGTTGCTGTTTTCACGAAGTGACGGTAGTGAAAAAAAATTGCATTCACTTTGCGTGATGATTTTCCTCGCTACCGTCACTTCGTGAAAACAAGGATGATATGGTGTATAAATGTTTCTTTTAAAAATCTCCACAGACGAATGAGAAGTTTAAACACGGGTCTCCTAAATCTCCGAGATCCCCCAGGGTAGGTCTCTTGCATCATGCACCCCCCCCCTCCCCCCATTCATGATCATGTTATGCCCCATCTTCTTTATCTTAATCTTAATCTTAATCTCATTCCCATCTTTCATTAGATTACTGGAATGAACCATGTCATATTGCTGTGAGAAAATTAGAACAAGGGGTGGTTTTTTGAAAAACATTTTATTTTCTTTATTTTGGGGACAGATATTTTAATTGTAATAACAAATATATACATATGGTGTGTCATTTGATAATGACTCCATCTATGTTGCTTTGTATTATTATACAGATACATCTGCTTAAACAACAAATAAAGTTGACCAAAATAAAGAAAAATGAATTTCAGAATGACATCTTTTTTTTTAATTATTAAGACTGGAACTTGGCACGCTTTCTACATTGTTTTCATCATGCCAGTATTTAGCCTGCCTCTCAGACAAAGGAATTTCCCCCTTCTCAATGATAATGCATGTAGTTGAGTCTGAAGATTAATGTTAGTAGACTAACTCCTATCTCTGGGTATGGTTGGTCTACTCTATAAAGCTCAAGTTCAGCATGGTTTCATTGAGAATGAGAAATCTGACTTTGCCTGTAAGCCAGGTTAATTCCATTTGTCTAATCTTTATTGCAGCCCTTGTTCATATCAGACAACCAGTCTGCGTCTTCATGGTGAACCTCAAACCATTTGACAAAAAAATTATAAGTTGTTTCTGGAAGGATACTTAGAAAAATAGAAATGAAAGAGAAATTTCAGCGTGTTCCCTTTCTTGGTAATCATTTCCCATAAATCTTAACCACATATTTTTCAAATCTGAGATGTATTTTGTGGTTAAGTTTGAGAGTGGTAATATATGTCTTCTAAAAAAAAAATTATTTAAAATTGTTTCCTTCCGTACTGTTTAAATTCATTTTTTGTTTTACATTTACATTTTTGTAGAATACAAATGGATGCTTACTCCAAATAAAATTTCATATTTATTTATTTCAATGTGTTTTACTATGGATATCAGTGAATAGATAAGTTTTATCATATTTATAATTTACAATATATTGGTATTGGTGCTTGATACACCTTGTACGAAGAACGAAGAATGTTGGCAAAGATTTGACTTTTTGTTTAAATCCTCATTTCCCTCTATAAATCAATTCACAAACCAATTATCTTTAATTGAAATCATCCACCAAGACATCTCTTCACATACCATTGTATTGTGTTCACACAGTGTAAAAGCATGTGATGAAATTTTATTGTAAGGGGAAACTGGAAGATGTCTCATATTTATCACTTAGGAAGAATTATGATGATTTTCATTATTACCCATGAATATATATCAATTTCATCTTTGCCCATGTACTTGAGTAGAAAATGATTTGTTACCTGTTGTTAATAAATCTGCTCTCCCTTTTAAATTTCCCAGAATTTGTGATAATTGACATAAAATTTGTTTCACCTATCAAAGCCAAGATAGTAAGCTTCTCTCTGAAGCCAGCAACCATTATTAATTTATGACACTGACAAACTGAGTCAGACATTTACACAACCAGTCTAATCTTTACTGCCCTTGCCTTCATCAATTTCCTTTTTTTTCCTGAAAAAAAACTACCAGAAAAAGGAAATATTAATGATAACCCTACCCCCCCCCCCCAACAAAAGGACCACTCTTCCTGGCACCCTTAAGGGCATCATTAGAGCCCAAAAAATTGTTTGGGGTGTGTGACCAAACTTTGCAGATATGTTAGGCAAACAATTTCCAACAAGCAAAAATTTTAAAAAAACTTTTTTTTTTGCAGACAAGGGTAAACAAAAACAAAATCAAAATATGCTGAAAGAAATTTTGAGTGGGTAGACACCCCCTCCCACATTGCCCCCAGGCTTTTTCCCCTCCCCCTTCCTATAAATTCCATGCTGTGTGATGTCCCCTGTCCACCCCTGCAAATAATGTGTCAAAGTCCTGATGAATCCTTAGATACGGTTTCCAACAACAGTATTTCTACTCAATTAACTGACGGAGAGCACTTCTCTTTTTCAATTCCAAAGCACTTACACTATCTACTGGGTTATTTCACCTACCGCCTCAAATTGGCCATAAATTGTGGTTACCAATTGACGTCTGTGTAAGCAGAGTTTGCACGTAGGCATGTCTTCCTTACTCGTTATTGTCTCTTTTAGTAATCCATAAATCTTAAGAAGAAGGTACGATCATTAATATCCACTTTTGTATCTCTGCATTGCACAATAAGGAGATCTGTACAGAGATGTGCTTAAATGTAGAAGAGATGCTTTAGCAACCTCGCCAGTATTCATCTTTGTGTGTTGTTTGTTGAAATAGATATTGTTTGTCGAGGGCCAGACTTCAGAAAGGAATAAACTCAACGAAAAAGTATATGGGTTAATGTCCTTCTAGCTCCCTAATCTCTCAACTATTAAATGAAAATCAATGAAAGGGATGCTATAGTTTCTATGTCTCCTCAATTTCTCATTTTCTACTATTCTTTTTTCTCTTTCTATTACTCTCTATTCATGTATATGTTTCTTTTTATTTCATGCCATTCTTTTCCGTTTTACATCTCTACATTTTGTTTGAAGTCACCATACATTATCGAAATCGAAAGTGAGAAAGCCACCTCGGGTTGGGGTGGGATAAACACATTGTTCTAATATATTCCCAAACGATAAAATCTACTCCCTAAGTGCATGGAATAGAGCCATTGTGGACTTAAGTCAAATTATGTTCCTCCTGCCTGTAGCAAAGATAAGCTCATCTCTGTCATCTGTCTACCATTAATCAGGAGACTTTGGTAGAGGGGTACGTGATGGGTGATACTTTGCCCCCCTGTTCCATTTGATAGACTTGTTTACCAGTTGTTTGTAGAAACTGTCTCTCCTTCTATATTTCAGTCATTGAATGAAAACATCTTCACAATTAACTCCATGTGTGGAAATAGCATGAATACAGTTTTGCTGTTTAGTTTCTGTGTACTATTTCATCAAATGAAGATATATGGAGGGGGAGTCAAGTCCCCAAAGTGGTTGTTTTAATTAAATGCAGACAAAATTGGAGAAACAGATCAAAGAAAGGTTCAGGGATTTGGATACATCACAAGAAATTTATGAGTGTTTCATAATTTCAGATCCAGATTGTAGTCTAATGGAGACAAACTACAAATATTTCCTCATCAAACATTTATTTTGTGTTGGACATTTTATTAAAAAGTACATTGGTATTCGATAATATTACAGACCAGCCTATAAGTGAATTTGGCACTGGGTTGGGAAAAATGGATCCCTTTAAGAATAAAGTTGCAATAATTGAAAGTTCAGAAAACAACCTGGGAAATGTGAGTAGCGAGCTCATACAATCTCATGGCAATGTTGCCAACTCATAAGTTTTATTACTGTTCTCAGGTTTCACCCCCAAAACTGTTGTCATCAATCAGTTTCCCCATTTCTTATGCCTTCTTTTTTCAGCAAATTGTTTAAGGCTGCCGGTTTAAATAACATTTCTTAAAAGATTGAATAGCATTTTTCAAAAAAAAGAAGAAGATAATTAGCAACTCAGAGTTTGCAATAATCTTCAGCGTTACTGTACATCATACACGATTCGTCTAGCAAGATCTCGCCTCACGGGGGCGATAGGGTTAGAAACATCTTAATCCAATCACGGGAAAGGAAGTTGTTCACAAGATGTTAATCCCTTCTTTTCCTTTCTGAATTTCCATGATACGTTAGCCAGAATTTTCGTTTCCTGCGATGCCCTCATTATATTAGCTCCATTATATTAGCAGAGTAAGAGAAATTGAAAGCAAATTGGGGAGATTAATTTTATAAGCATTATATGGGAGGTCTATGGATTTCCCAGATGCTGTGATTTTAATTATAGATTAAAAATTAAAACAAATAAGGAAAGAAAAAGAGTAAACTTGAATATTTTTAAATCAAAGGATAAGTCATGTTTCAAATGATATTTAAGTCATATTTAAGTACTGGAAATTGAAACTTTGTTCCCTAAGTGGTTAATTTACATGTATGATGAAATCTAACAAATGAAATCAGTGATAAAATTAAATAGTATTGTCCCTTTTCCAAACTGATCTCTGTCGTGGTGTGAAAAAAACAGTATTTTACTCATTAGCATAGTCGATTCCATGATGGTCTAAAAAGGGAGAGGCAAGAATTTGAAAAGTACATGGTAGTCCATGATATTAGCATAGCATAACACACAGCACGTGTGAGGAGTTTCTTTACAAAGGGGGAGCTGGGGTATTACCATTTTACCTTATTTGGATCACTGTATGATGGGGAGATATGTTTCCAAAGAATTTTTTTACTTCATGCAGCCCATGAATTTATAGATACATGTCATGGAATTGCATGTGAATATCACACTGACATTGGAACGTTTACATGTATCAGCATGGAATAAACCATTTACATCATGGTTTCTAATTTAACTCATAATTATAGGGTATTCTATATAATCCTTGGAATTCTGACATTTTTTAATAATTAATTCAAAACAAATGAATTGGAGAGAAAGGAAGAAAGATTCTTAAAGTAGACTACATTGTTTGAAAGTTTGAAGATGTTACATCATTCTAAAGATAACAGGTTATCATTATATCCATTAAATATCTTTATATTTTATACCTTTTTGAAAGTACTATTTCAAATAAAAATAAATGTACTCAGGATATCCTATTCAAGAAAGAATTGATAATTATATATCTGATTGTCACACAGATGTACCTATAATTTGTTTTTATCAAATAAAAATTTATTTAGAAAAAACATTACCATTAATATCAATACAAATATAACCTGAATGTCTACTTTACCTTTTTTTGTTTTCTGTTTAATTTCCATAAATGTAAATTAATGCATTAGGTTTCTCCTGAAGGCAAGTACATCTTTGGATCCTCCCCGTCTGAGAATCGGCGCAAGAAACCCTCCTCCTCGCCGTCGACGCCCACCACGCCCACACCCCCATCCACTCCCCGCCAAGCACACACCCCGGCAACAGCACGCAAGATGCAGCAACCAGATGAATCGCCCAAGCTGCAACCTGTTACATCAATCATGCAACAATCCACAGCCCAGATACAACATGCACCACCACCACAGCAACAACAACGTCAGCAACAAGTACAACACCAACAGCAGCAACCACAACCACTGATTCAACATCAAATACAACCCCAAAGCATACAGACAAAGTCTATAAATAATATCAAGTGAGTATTAATAGAAAAAATGATATGTATATAGTAACTTTACATCTAACTTAGATTATATTATATGAACTTCTTCAGTGCGATGGTGGACAAATCCCACACAAGGAATTTTTTTTTTTTTTTATAATGATTTTCATCTAAAAGTGGCTATTTGTTTCATCTTATTATTGAAATAGGTTTATACATTGTGAAGGTTGTTTCTATACATGCATGCAATATCATGCCAAATTTCAGAATGAACCAAATGATTAAAATACCAAGTTGACACAAACCTAATTGGAATGGAGTTCAGTGAATGAAAAAAAGAATCCTGTTTAGCGAGTTATGGTATAATGCTTGAATATAGTTAAGGCTTGTAATTGTAGGTTTATAATATTGTGCACCAACATCATGGTTAATTCACTTCTTACATTGCTATTTCTGGCCTCAAGCTCATTTGTCACCAATTTGAGGATCAGGCAGGCCACTTTGGTCGATCAGAGAGGCACAAAAGCTGAAAACAAATCATTTCATAGCCAAAGGGAGCAGCTGAAGTTGCTGTAAGATTTGAAAGTTTTAGACAGAAATGTTGTTTGGCCAATTTATAAATTGAGGACAGGTATTGTATTACAAATCAAACACGTTTAGTAAATACTGTATAATTTTATTCTTCATGTACCTTCTGTGGACATTTGATATTAATTAATAACAATATTTTTTTTGTCCGTTTTCTAGGAGTGGAGAAGGACTGGTCAGATATTCCTTTGATCTAGAGGTGGATTACATTACAGAGAGATTAATTGGTAGGAACATGTACTACATTTCTTTTGCTATTTTCCTTTTCCTTATGAATTTGTGGGCAGGTCATCATTAGCATGAGAATTAAAGTACATGAATACCCTCTTATATCAAGTTTAAGTACAAGGCCACATATATCTTTAAAACGTATTGTGATATGTTTCCCTTCAATTCACTGTTTTTAAATGTATTTATTCATTTACGGTACTTATTATATTTATCAATCTATATTTCCATATACCTATTTATCTATCTATCTAATTATTATTTCATTTTGTTATTTATTCATTTTTGTAAAGTTATATAGTAGGTTAGTTCCTGCATTATTTTTCATTTATTTACTTACTTAAACTATTCCAACAATTTATTCACGACTTTTCATAATCATGTCTTCTGATTCTTCTAATGTTATTTTTAGAAGCCTGTTTGTAGTTTGAATTCAGTAAGAACATTTTACAAGACAATTTCATCAGTTGATATCACATCTGATTTTGTTCTTTCCCGTAGCCGTGTCTTTCCCATCTGGTGGGCTTGAGAACCAGTACCGTAGCAACCTGCGTGATGTAGTTCGTATGCTGAAGAGCAAACATAACAACAGCTATGTGGTCTTCAATCTATCAAGGAGGAGACATGATGTATCCAAGCTCAACCAAGAGGTGAGGATAATGGTAGTGGTGGTGGTGGTGATGGTGGTGGTGATGGTAGTGTTGGTGTTCCTGATGATGATGATGATGATGATAATGATGGTGGTGGAGGTTGTGGTGGTGGTGGTGGTGGTGGTGGTGGTAGTGGTAGTAGTAGTAGTACAAATAGTAATGGTGGTGTTCCTGATGGTGATGATGATGATAATGCTGATGATGATAATGATGGTGGTGGAGGTGGTGGTGGAGGTGATGGTGTTAAGGTGATTGTGATGGTGGTGGTGATGGTAGTGTTGGTGTTCCTGATTATGATGATGATAATGATGGTGGTGGTGGTGGTGGTGGTCATGGTGGTCATGGCAGTGGTGGTGTTGGTGATAGTGGAAATCGTGATGGTGATTGTGGTGTCTAGGTGATAATGATAGTGGTAGTGTTGGTGTTACTGATGATGATGATGATGATGATGATGATGATGATGATGATGATGATGATGATGATGATGATGATGATGATAATGATGGTGGTGATGGTGATGATGATATTGAGGATGGTGAAACTGATGATAATAATGATTGTGTTGGTGAAGTTACTGCTGCTTCTGCTGCTGGTGCTGCTGCTGATGATGATGATGGTGCTGGTGGGGGTCATGATGATGATGATGATGATACTGACAGTGATGATTATGATAATGATATTGATGATGATGGTGTATTTAGGTATAAAGCCAGTGATAGAAGAGGTGGTGATAAGTAGCATTCAAAAGGCTGTTCATATCAAACAATAATCGTGAAGTGTAATCTCTTAATTCTTCCTCATTTTGCTACCTCAACAGGTGCGTGACTTGGGCTGGCCCAATGTCCTGGCTCCTCCTCTAGAGAGGCTTTGCAGCATCTGCAAACAGATGGAGACCTGGATGAAGGGCAATCTCAACAATGTTGTAGTGCTACATTGTAAGGTGAGTGAATTTTTCCCATTTACAACATCACTACAGAGCTGGAGTGGGGGCGTTTCCACAAAGCCTTTTTTCAATGACAAATGACAAAACAAATCAGTGACAAATCTGCTGATAACCAATCAGTAGCAAGGATTTCAGTAGCTTATAACAAAGACTGTTGTTTGTCACTGATGACAGGTTTTGTGAAACGCCCCCTTGAAATAGGAAAGGTGAATGTTTAGTGACAAATTGTTTGGCTCTTCAAGTGACTTATGACTGAAGAGACAATTTTTCCACACTCAATGGAGGGGATGACCATGAGAGCTGTGAGAATTCATTGACTTCAACACAGAATTAAAGCCCTTCTAGCTTGCCCTCAATGAAATAATGAATAAGAAGTAGGCAGAACAAAAGGAAAAGGATACTTGAGCTGTTATGTCATTACATTCTCTTCAATCCTATTCTGTTTACATTGATTGACAGTGTAGGTCTTGGACCATTTTGTTCAAGTACTTTTGGCTTCATCCCTTCATGTTTATTTCAAGAATGATTACACCTGTCATTTTTTGTTTTACTTAGATACATTGTCATATTCTCTCAAGGTATCATTCTTCTTATTTTCAGGGTGGCCGAGGTCCCATAGGGGTAGTGGTATCAGCCTTTATGAACTATTTGAGCATCACATCAGCGTAAGTAATATCTTTTTATCCTTTTTTTCTTCTTGTACATTGTTTTGTTGCATTCTATAAGGTTTACACAAAGCTGAAGGGCTTTCCTAGAGTAAAGTATCAGTATGTACCATATAAATATCAGTTTATAGGCAGTAGCAGCTCATATATCTGAGTTTAAATATTTATTTGGACATTTTCCTTCCTCCATTCTTGAGTAAGTATATCCCTATAGTGCCTCATATTGCCTTTTAACTTCCTTTTGGTTTCTCTCTCTTTCACCTCCTCTCTCCTTTTCTCTCCCTTCTCTACCCTGATTTCAATATCTTGCCATTTTGTCTCTCCCAATAATACTTATTCTATTTGTGATCTCTTTCTTCTTTTATGAATTTTCTTCTTTGATGAATATCACATGCTTAATACTTACTCTATGTATGATATTTACTCCAATCATTATTAAGTTTCTCTCTCTCTCTCTCTCACACACATACAGGAATGACTCAACGATGGACCGTCACGCCATGAAGAGGTTCCTGGATGCCAAGGGTTGGAGTGGCATGCATCCATCTCAGATGCGCTACATCGATTACTTCTCAGGACTTCTCACCAACTCGATCCAGATCAACAGCTCGCCCCTCTTTCTCCATCATGCCGTCATCCATGGTGTGCCCAACTACGATTCTAACGGAGGTAAGGGGAAAAAGAATTCACAGTTTACTGTAAAAATCTGAGGAAGTATAGGTCAACTTCGTCGCGTGCTTTCTCAACTTGTTAACAATCTACTGTTGACCCAACCAGAAGCAGACCACGATAATGATGTTATAGAATCATGATTGAGATCTCCATTCATTCAAGCGATTTTTAGCGACCGTGAATCTGCAGAATCACGATACAAAACGCATCTTTTTGCAGCGTTTCATGTTTGCGTTTTTAAACACCTTTATTTTTACGACCGACGAAAAAATTGCTTGAAATCACTTGAACACAACAGTGTTTTAAATTAAACGTGTTTAGTGTCGCTTGATCGCACCCCTAGGCTGTGGGCATGATGTACCTGCGATGATATTCTTCTGGATAGGTAATAAATTCAACCTGTTTTCTTGTTCTTTCCGTCAGGTTGCCGTCCTTTCCTGAGGATATACCAAGGCATGAGCCCTGTATACACATCTGGTGTCTAGTAAGTATTCCGCTAATTATTTAATGAAGATGGTCACACTGGTCACTACGTAGTGCTCAACAATGTAGGCCTATAGGATTATAATATTTATAATAATATAAGTTTTAATATTTTTTTTTTTCAGACTTAAAGTATGTTTAATTTGTAAAGTATGTTTAATTAATTTATAAGTGTGTGATGTCACAAATTATTTTATTCAATATTACATTAATTTTGTACCATTACCATATCCCGTCTTTCATATATTACGGTAAGCTAAGTGATACACCTTTCTTTGTCCATGTTTTGTTTAGTGAAATGTGAATCCAGTTATATTAAACTAAATTCATAATGAATTTGAAGAAATTAATATATTTGGAAGAGGGAATTTATGAATGGTATTTGTCTGTCCCTCGTTTTAATTCTAGCACCGTGCCAGAGGGAACAAGTCGCTTTGTGATCACACCACGCAGTGCTATTCCTCTACGAGGAGACATTCTGGTAAGTTTGAGGTGCTAAGACAGACACAGGCTACAACGATAACTCCTCCAATTCACCTCCCGTACCAAAGCCCTGACTTCAAGCTAATTGGACTAAACACCATGTAACCCTAACACTACACCAAACCTAAAACCCAATCGCAACCTTAACCCTAGTATTACATCTTTGACAAATTAAGCCAGGAACAAATATCACAAAATGGTGTTTAAGGATCACCAGATTTGACTCATTACCACCATCAAGTATCAAGTTTAATTGTCCTCCAGAAATCACATGTAACAAAATATAATAGAGTATAATCATAACAGTACAATGTAGAATAAAGAAAGACGAGGAGACCTTGGTTGAAGCACAGCTTGTTAAGTTAATTAAGGCATGTTTATTTGACTCTTCTACTCATACAATTTACAGTTGAAGTGTTACCATAAGAAGTTCAGATCAACGACCCGAGACACAGTGTTCAGATGTCAGTTCCATACAACGGCAGTCATGGAGTATAGATTGGTCTTCCAAAAGCAGGAACTAGATGATGCTTGTACAGGTAAGATAAGAAAAATATATATATATTGTACAACATCATTACAAGTATGGGATGATTTCTATGGTCTATGATAATGGTGATGATGATAATATTAATAATAATATGGATATTTATATAGCGCCGGTATTCGCCAGGCTACTGACGCTCATGGCGCTTTACACATACTACCCTGGTTATAGCCGAGCTGCCAAAGTAACCAGCGCTCAACATATCAGGTACCCATTTACACCTGGGTGGAGAGTGGCAAATGTACATTAACGCGACAGGACTTGAACCCCGTAGCTTGTTATCTGCAGTCGGGTGACTTATCCACTAGACCACAACACCTCTACATGATGATGATGATGATAAAGATGATAGGATCTTAAACATCCCATTCATTGACAATATAAATATTTCCCTGTGGTCATCATCTTATCCATTTTAGATATCACTGTCATCACTGTTAAATAACTGATTTTCAACTCCAGTTAACTTATATGGACATCGAATTCCCACAATTCACTAATTTTATGCAGTCAGCTTTTGAAAAACGAGAGAACTCTGTTTTACTTTGTATTGAAATGCTATATTAAATATTAGCTCAAAAATCTCAGACCTGGTAGAAAGTCAGCATTTAATCGTCATTGTTTTTTTTATCCCACAGATGCTAGATTCCCAGAATTCACCAAGGTGGAGCTAATCTTCTCTTCCACCCCCGATGCCCTTCACGGGAGTGACTACGTCTCAGGAGCCAGCTTCCCGTCTGAACACATTGATGATCCCCTCATCAGATGGGATTCTTACGAACACTTCAATGACATCATCGAAGGACCAGAAGGTATAAGCCACACCCCTTTCATTTGGTCTGCTCGTCTTTTTGTAGTTGTGCAATATGCGTCAGGATACGGTATTAATTTGTGAGGTTGCAAGTCCATTTTTATTTGAGCATTTAAGGGTTCATATTCTCCTAATTCAGTTGAACCCGAAGCTGGGTCTAAATTCACATTTCATAAAAGGAAAACTTAGACCTCAATTTAACTTCCTTTGTTAACCTAATTTTGAATAAAGGCCTAAACCTTGCATTGGGTTTTAAATTTTAGTAGAAAATGCACCTAAGTGTCTAAGAGTAACAGCTGTTAGGGATACCTTTCATACTAGCATTTGCAACAAAGGCTATAATTTCTCTTTTTAAGAGAGGTCATACTTAACAGTACCATTGATGATATAGGCCAATTCATTCTGGGATTTCTTGGGAGGGATTAAAATGTTGGTTTTATTTACTTTCTGCTCTAGACGGAGGCCCTGACCTCAATGAAACATCTGGGAACAACAACAACAACATGATCCTGGACATCCCTCACAGCTCGGCTCCCGATGGCAGCCTTTACGCTCAGGTCAAGAAGTCCCCATCACCCGAGCAGTCACCAGTCATCCCGAGACTGACCAATGGAGACACCAACACGGCCCCCTTGCCATATGTCCTTTCCCCAGACAAAGCCCCTCAGGTAAACACTTCGAGGGATGGAGGCAAGAGGAACATGGACTACCGGGAGAGAATGGCTCTGGATGAACTGCTCAAAGGCATCACTGGAGAGGACACAGACGGAGGCATTGTGGTCAATAACAACACACAGTGGAAGGCACCACCATCACCTGATATTAACACGGTCAGTTTAGTGACATCATGAAGTACACTTTGCAAATTTCTAGCTGAGGCTAAGATAGAAATAGTTTTGGGATGCAGCCTTTGGAGCAAACATTACATTATGTCATGAGAACATTATGACCATCACAACATAATGGATATAAGCACTATATGAATAGCTATTATTTTAGACAAAAAGAAATTTTGTGTTCTTTGATGCCAATTTGCATATTTTGACCCTTATTTCTTATCTAATTTTCATCGTGCACCTCGGAATTGAAGTTCTCGATAGATGGCGCAATACAAATGCCTATTATTATTATTTTTATTACATTGATACAGTTTCCTCATTCTGAATTGTCATCTTCAGGTTCTCCACCATGAGCCAGTTCACACAAGACGTATTGTAAGCGTTAGTGAGGATCTCCGCCACGCTCCCGTCTCCCAGTCCAAGCCCAAGCCACCGCCCACACTTCAGGAGGATATCAAGGAAGAGTCTGCCGGTCAGGAGAATTCTTCACCATCCAAGAAACCAGTATCTAGGAAGGAGTCCAGTGAGGCTGAGAACCCCTATGCAGAGATCACAGATGCCATGCAGCAGAAGCTTCAGCAGAACCCTAACACCAACCAGAGTGGTCCACACCAGGAGAGGATCACACCGGTGGTAGTGACTAACCAGGAGCACTCAGCACCACCAATGATGAATGGAGGCACCAATATGCCAAGATCCGTTGAGCAGCACAATCCGACCTATGACATCACGCCCAAAGGATCAAAGCATGGGACAAGGCAGAATGGTCATGCGACCCCGAATGGTCATGTGACCCAGAACGGACAGGTGGTCCAGAACGGACAAGTGGCCCAGAACGGACAAGTGAATCTAAACCCAGGTCAGGTGAACATGAATCCAGGACATATAAATGTTCAGAATGGACCAACACCTGTGGCCTATAATCAGATGGTTCGTAACCCAAGTCCTGCCCAACCTTACATAGCACAGATGAATGGGCCTGTGGAGACCCCTATCATACCCAACTCAGCCAGTAGGGTGACAGAAAGGACTCCCAATTTTAATAGATTAGAAAATGGCCCCACATCGCCTGTGCACCAAAATTATGAGCCACGCCCATTGAGAGCCAGAGAGGATAGGTTCCAACTCCTGAGGAAAGACCCCAATGCACCCCAACAACAGCAGTACCAGCCTTCCACCCCATCCCCCAGCCAGGTAAGCCCTGTCAGCCCCACTGGGGAGGAGGAGGATGGTGGGCTTGGCTGGCTTAAGAGGCAGCAGGACAGGCTTCGTGAGAAGCGGGAGAGGGAGAACGGGAGACCCATCGTAAGGGAAGCACCGGCAGAACCCATCAGGGCCATGCCCGTCAATGCATCAACTGCAGAACCCATCAGGGCCATGCCTGTCAACGCATCACCAAAGTTGCGCGTCCGCTTTGAGGGTGATCTTCAGTCGGCGCCACCTGCAGTGTCCCCACCAATGTTCACCAGGAAGGATGAGCCTCCATCTTGGCTTGCCCAGCAACAGCAGAAGCTTCAAGATCGCCAAGGTTACAACATCACCCCACTAAACCAGGCTCCGGTGGTTGCCACAGAAACCACACCAGTGCAGAATGCGATGTATCCTGCTCACGATCACTTGCTGATGACTGGACCCAAGGACGGTGGCGTGTCTGTACGAAGGGGCATATCACCACCCCCTCTTTCTATCTCAACTGACTTGGAACGATCCATCAGCGAGCTGGGGCAGATGAACAGCGCCAAGCCGGCCCAGTCCTACGTCCAGCGATCGATCACCACCACGACCAGCCATGAATGGGAACCTCATGAGAGACAGCTCAACAGGCAGCTTTCCGATCTGACCCACGACAGGTTTCGTGACCCCGTATTCCAGAGACCTGCCGTTGATCAGTCACCGAAGGTCCCTGCTACACCATCAACGCCTTATGATCCAGTTCCTCCAATACTTACCAATGCACAGCTGAGGAACGATGGGTAAGTGAAGGCAAAACCCATCTTGACATGGAGTTAAAAGCTTGATGATCAAAAAGAACTATAGTTTGATTGACTAGATTTTAAAACTAAGTAATCTGTGACCCTTTAAGAGAAAACATTAATCTTGCAATTTGTTAATGATATACCATGAAAATCAACATATACAAATGTGTACTCTTGATGACAATGTTATAGGTGTAATTGCTATTGGAGTTTTATCCTTTTTACATGATGGGGTACATTTTCATGTGTTGCATTTTCCGTAAATGGAAGAACACAATACTGATCACAATGTTTGGTTTTAACTGGTTTTACTGGTGAAGGAAAAAGATTTAATTACTGATGTCTGTTATGTGTGCCACAGGTTTTTTTTTCTCTCAGAGTCATCATGGTTTAATATGTTCATGGTTTTATTAATATTAACATCATGATCGATGCATTCTTCATATGTAATGGGTTGATTGTTGATTGCGTTTGCACTGCATTTTTGCACCAATGACAATATTTGATGTGAATGAAATGACTTACATTCCTTGATTTATAAAAAATGACAAATCATTCAATTGGACCCATTGAAATCTGTTACTCATAAAAAAAGATCATATATTTATGTTAGAAGTATTGAACTACTGGTATTATAGATATTTAGCTGTTATATATGTTCTTTCCACCATGTAGAGGATATGTATACCAATTCTGTGTCCTCTGATGGTGATCATTTTACATTCTATCCTTTGACCTGTTCAACTAAGATCATGGGGTATTTACATTTACATATTGGGTGTGTTTGTAATAACTCATTGCATGAAAATATGATATAATGGTTACACATTCATAGCATGACGGTTAGGTATTTTCTAATGATAATGCTACTTGGGACTGATGGATTATATTATATATTGCTCAAAGTGTCTATAGTATTTATTCATTATCTCCTGGGGGTAGGATAAATTCTGAAGATCCTGGACATTCCAAAGAAATTAGTGCTTTCCACCCTCATTTGTTTTGGAAGAAAAGGCAATGATATATGTTTTTGAATAAATTATGACATCTGGGGACTCTGCTTCTTACTTCAAAAACATTAAAAATCATTTTGTAAATACTGGAAACCTGTCCACAAGCACTTTGCTATCAAGGGTATGCCACCCTTTCATATTTTGACTCTATTGCTGTTATTCTGTCCTTGTGTGATCACATTGTTTTAAAATGGAAAATAAATGAATTGAATTCAACAATAAAAATAACAATTATTCTAGTTTGAGAAAAAGAGTAATTCAGGGAAAAGGAACGTTACATTTCTGAAAGCAAAAGACACATGCAAATAATGAATATAATCACACAGAATATTATCTTTCCAAACTTTATGCAATAGGATCACAAATGATCAGTCCATTTCTGCTATGAGGGGATCTTCATTAGTATGATAATGACAGTCTCAAGTAGCATGATTATTCATTAACAGATTTATTTCTTGTCTGTTCACATGGTGTTTTTAACATGGTATGATCCACTAACCTCTACCTTTTAATCTCTGCCTTCCTCCATATTTACTCCTGTTTGTTGGTGTTTTCTTGGTGTGTGTCTGCCTACGATATATCCATACATCTACCAAACCTTCACTACCACCATAGCCATAGCAATTGCGCACAAGAAGAGAGACGGTATCAGTCGAGGACAGAACTTGCCTCAAGGGTTGGTAGTGTACCTTTTACAGAAACTCCCGTACATGCCAGTTCCGCAATGAAATCGGATATGTTGTACAGTAGTAGCGTACCGGTGAAAGTCACATCGCAGGTATCCGATGTCAACTCTTTAACGCCTTCCGTTGATTCTGGGTACAAGTCCTCGTCGTACCAGACGTTGGCATCGAGTCTGTCGGGGATGAGGCCACAGGAAACTAGTTCTGATGTGACAAAGTACATAGGACAAGATGGCTCAGAGACCACGATTAGAAACACCACAGAGCGTAGGAAGAAGACGGTCCAAATTGAAGCGGTTCAAAACAAAGACGGGTCATTTCATTATCCCGCTATTCCCGTTACCCAGTGGAAGGGTGATTCTGGTAGCAAAGCGATAGAACAATCATCGTCATCGCAGCATCAACCTAGAGTCAACATCCAGGTCAATCCTTATGAAGAGGTTGATAGCTTTCTTCCAAGGCCAGGCGATAGTTCAAAAACTTCCTTAAGCCTTCAGAAGCAAAGCGATGGACAGTCTTCAACCATATCCTCAGGAAACTTGCGCTCTCCAACATCTGCCTTTGTACCTCTCACTGTCTCAACATCCATGGGAGAGCATCTCTATGATACCTCCATACACTCCTCTTCTTCCTCTTCTTCTACTTCATCCATACCAACCGCTTACTATTCTCATCACCATAGAAACAATCATAATCCTCATCACCAATCTCAACGTAACCCTGGTAGTGGTAATCATCCTGGTAGTGGGTATCATCCTCATAGTAACCAATCACAACAGTACATCCACACACAACAGTCTTCCAGTAACAACTCACAACAATACCAGTCTACCCCCCAAAAGGGTTCCTCTATGCACCCCTCCCAGGTAGGGTCTAGGGATTGGAACTCACAACAATACCAGTCTACCCCCCAAAAGGGTTCCTCTATGCACCCCTCCCAGGTAGGATCTAGGGATTGGAACTCACAACAATACCAGTCTACCCCGCAAAAGGGTTCCTCCATGCACCCCTCCCAGGTAGGGTCTAGGGACAGGGAAATCGAGTCCTTCTCCCATGCATCTGATACAAGCTCAAGGGAAGTGTCCAACCAAGCAGAACTTACCCCTTCACAACACTTGCTGAAGTCAGCATTCCGAAAAGCAGACTTTCTTCTCTCTCCATCAAGTATACCAAGTCTTTCAAGACCCATCCCCATCCCTATCCAAAGTGAGCGACCAAAAGTCAGTTTCCATGACCAAAGCAAAGAGCATGGGTCCGGATTGCCCACAGGTAGCTTCCACAGGGTCGTTTCACCTGAGGTGGAACAACCACCAAGGGCCTCCTCTGTACCTCCAACTCTCCCCTCTTATGATTGGGTCATGAACCGGATCAGGGAGCTCAGAAGGGGCACTAATAATGTTAACCAAAACAAAGGTGTGAGTTCCAGGGGACATTCAAGTGACAGGGCTGGGGAAAGCAAGTTGGATAGCAGCCAGAAGGTTGGCAGTAAGGTTCACTTTGACTTGCGAAATGAGGTGATATCCAGCAGTCTCGCTCCGAGGGGTCATGTCACAAATCAAAGTAAGACGAATGTAGTCCAGCCAATCCCTCAACGCCCAGCAAGACCTCAGTTTGAAAATTTGGCAACCTTACCCCCTAAGGGTAACACTCGTAGTAGGACTCCACAAGAGCCCCAAAAGCACCAGACCCATAATTTACGCGAGATGGTTTCCAATAATGTTCCTAACAGGAGAGAGGAGATAGAGCGCTGGAATAATTACGGGTATAGCTATGACAACAGTTCTATGCAAGAGACTGGTCAAACATTGCCAGGATCGACTCCTGCATCACAGAGCTTCGTTCCAACCAGTCCTATACAACAGAAGATGGATGGCGAAAGGAGTCCGGTAGGACGTCATTATCATATTCCAGAATCACGATTGCCAGATTATCAACCTTACGAGCAGCAAACCGATCAGCAGCCGACTCAAACGGAGCGCAAAGTGCGGACGTTAAACAAACAAACCCTGCATGTGGAGTCCTCTAACCCATCTCAAAGTGTGACTTTTAACACTACCCATCCCCCTCTTTCCTCCATGCATGGAAGCACCCCTCCCCAGGAGCGAGTCTTCACCCGTAGCGTGAGCAACTCTGGCCTTAATGAACTTGAGACTAACAATAACAACTCCAGCGGAGAGGATGCCTTCAGTAGTCTTGACGATGCTGTCAAGATGCTCTCTCACTGGAGTAATGAAATCCAGAAACTCAGCGCCCCTTACAAATCACCATCATCGATTGACGCTAACCATAACACGCATGCCTCACTAGACAACAGTGCCATCCTTTCTCATCATCAACTCAACAACAACAACCAGTCTGATGACAGGATTAACCCATCTCACTTTCAAACCCACCAATCCAACGGCGGGTACCATTACTCATCTCAAACATTGACCAATCACAGACCTCAGGCTACATCCACGCCCAGAAAGAACTTTGATGAGGTGGATCTGCACATTGATGAACCAACAGAGGTAGACAACATACCAAAAGGGTTGGTGGCGGACAGATCTCCAAGTGAGTAGTTTTATTTTTCCTGTTGTCTATTTCTTTACCTTTCTTTCACTCTTCACTCTCTTTCTCTTTTCTCTTCCTCTTTTTTTCTGTTGATATCACTTTTTTAATAATTGCTTTAATGTATACTCTCTATCCCTCTCTCTTTCTCTTTCTCTTTCTCTTTCTCTTTCTCTTTCTCTTTCTCTCTGACTCTCTGTCTCTCTCTCTCATGAAAAATCAGTTTTTGAGCTTTGAAGAAGTTATCATCTTAAATATAATAGATGGGTGTCTTTGGAAATAATTTGTTATCACTTCATTTCGTCGCTATTTTCACGAAGTGACGGTAAATCGTCACGCAAATTTTATGCGATTTTCCTCACTACCGTCACTTCATGAAAATTGGGACGATTTGGGGATTTTATGTCTTCTTTTGTGTATGGGTGTTTTCAATTTTGTCTCTGTTTTTCTGTTGGGATAGATTTTATGGACAGGTCGCCCCCGGCTGCCCAGACCCGCCCACCTCGTCGCACCAACAATCAGTCCGGGTACGACTCTGATACTGGTATCCAGCAGTACTACCGCCCCCCTCGTAGGCGCAACTTTATTGACCCTGGAGCAGAGGTCTGGCTTCAAAACCCCGGTGGACTCCCAAGGAAGGTTTGTCAGTGTGCTCTATCTTCATTGCTCTCTTACTCTTATTTATTTGTCACTTTCTGTCTTCTTTCTTTCTTTCTCTCTCTTTCTCTCTTCCTTTCTTTTTGTTGTTCTCTCTTTCTCTACCGTGCTGCCATATTCCTGAACTATTCTCTTTCCCTTTGCCTTAGTCCTTATTTTTCTCCCCCTGTATCTTTTTCTATCATTTTTCACTCACTCCCTCTCTCTCTGTTTCTCTCTCTCTCTCTCTCTCGCTCTCTCTCTCTTTGTCTCTTTCTCTCGCTCTCTCTCTCTCTCTCTCTCTCTCTCTCTTTGTCTCTTTCTCTCGCGCTCTCTCTCTCTCTCTCTCTCTCTCTCTCTCTGTCAGTCCTCTGACTCCTTGTTCTTTTTCTGTGCTTGCCTTGTGGTCTTTTGATACCCTTCAGATTGAACATTTTAGGTAAGGAAAAGTCACTGTCCTTCCTGTCAGAACCATACATTGTGTAATGCCTAATTAATACAGACTCCTTGTATGCAAGGTGGCAATGAACTTTTAATATGCCCCATCTTCCTTAATCTCCCAGGAGACTGAATATTGGAACCGGAAGGATGGACTGAAGTCTAAAGAACCTCCAAAGGAGTATGACCTGAGTTCATCCAGCGAGAGCATCTCTGGTCCCAAGACACCCAAGTTCCCTGTCGGTCCCCGGGCTTACGCCAACATGACCAAGACCTTCATTGTCAATACTGGAGCGCCACCGCATGGTGAGATAGGAAAGGCCTTGCCGCCCCAACTGCATGCCGGCTATCACCCTGGTAAAATCATATATACTCTTTCCATTTAGTGATGTAGTGAGGGAAATTCAGTTAGATCAACAATGAAAGACCATAGGCAAGGGATCTTCAAATTTTACTTTTGTTTTAGTTTTTTCTTTCATTTCACAATAAAACAGGGTGGTGGGGGTTGTGGGAGGGGTTTGTTAATGATATGAGACAGCCTTGATTGTAATGAAAAATAAAAGCATGTCTGCTACATTGCTATTTTATTTTGTGGGCATGTAATGATGGTTGCATCTTCATAATCTCAATTACTTTATCTAAAACAGTTATAATACTAAACCATTAGTACAGACCACTCATTTTAATAACTAACATGACAGGTCATCTGTAGCTTGGACAATGACCTATATTACTCTTGAGATATTGTTGTTGTTATTAATTTTTGTAATTTACATTTTTAATTAAAATTCCTGCAATGTCAATGAGAGATGAGAAATGTACATTGGCAGGAAGTTATGCAGGAAGAAATGGACTAAGATTGACAGTCATTTACAACATTTTTAAGGGTGAAAAGAATAGCTCTGAAATCTACATCAAACATAAAATAAGTAAAGATGAAACTTACAAGATATCTAGTATGTTTCTAGAAAGCTATGTTGGAATTTACTACATGTTTGCACCTGGAAAATGTAGGTTTCTATTCTTTCAGTTATTTAACCTGTTTGAAGTGAGCTGTATTCTGCATCTGTATCTTAGCCTGACTGGTATTGCACGTGCTATGTCTTGCTTCATATGTTTTGGGAGGTTTTGAAAGGATGGGGGAAAAGTGTCTATCATATGTGGATTGATTTTGGGATTTAAAGGGTTAATGATTGGGTCATCAATAGAACGGGGGAAATCCTATTTATAAATCTGTATCAGAAGTTAAACTTATATTACAGCCTACAGGGAAAAACAATTATTTACAAGACTTTGATAATGGGGTTTCGGGGCCTAGAAGAACTACTAACTGAAAAACATATGTTCATCAAAATTGATTAAAATACATTCCATTGCTTTAGGTGAGAACATTAGAATGTGGATATCAAAGATTTTCTCAAAATCAAATACACTTTATACAGATATTTTACACAGCAATTTCTTTTGTAGAGTTATTACAACAGTATTCCCAGTGCATAATGTCCTTTGGCAAGACATTGATCTACATTTGCCACATTCCACCCAGGTGAAGTAAACCGGCAGGAAGTAATTCCTTGAATGCTGTGAGCACCGACATCGGTAGCCTAGCAGAGCCGGGGTAATATTAGAGCGATTTGAGCACCCTGCAGGGAGGATATGTGCGCTATATAAATATCCAATATTATTATTATTATTACCTCATATCGTCTTTGTCCAAACAGATGATATAATAATTCATATACTATACATAATGTACATATTATATATACTTATATGCATCATGCATGTTCATTTTACAGTATATATAGCCAAGATACATTACAATATTTCACAATTTTTGATGGTTTCTAAATGTGTAGTTTTTTAATTACTACAGAGAAAAAACCATGCTACAAGTGAGGTAAGATGATAAGATTTCAACTTTCAGGCACAAGAATATGGTTGGTCAGTGTGTAGGTCTATGATTGTCACTGGCATTTCATATCAGAATTTTCCTTTACAATGTATAAAAACAAAACAACTGCAGTCTATTAGTTACCTGTATTTTGACATTTGCCACTATTGTTCGTTGCTATTAAGACACAAAAGAAAGGGAAAATATCAATATTAGTTTGGGGTAGGAAGTCTCTTACAAAGTACTTAGGAAGTACTTACAAACCATCATCAGTATTTCATTTTAAATTTTCCCTTTACCTCCACCTTACAGGACCTGATCAGCCGCTCCCTCTGCAGCGCACCATGCATCGCCAGGACAGCTTTGAGATCCCGCCCGTGCCCGAGTCTGCACCACGACGCACGCCCACCGCCGAGGTGTACTCCCCACCCCCTCCACCCCCTCCTGCCCCCGTTCAGGAGCCCGCCAGGGAGACCCCCCAGCCCATGTACTCGCAGAAGAGGGTGATCACCGTGGAGCACAGGACGGAGCCTAACAGACAGCCCCAGGAGTGGACCCCTACCCCAGTGGCTCCTAGTCCAGAGCATAGGTACTACACACCACCAGCCACGAGGCAAACTCCTCTGGGAGATGTAAGTATATGGAGGAAATAGTTTGATTCTTGAATGATAATTCCCCAAATAATGTCATGTTTCTTCTCCATTTATGATTCTATCCATAGTTTTGTTTTCCTTTTTTGATATAAGGCCTATTCACAAATTAATGTTGTTAACATTTCAATGAAGCAGTCATTGTTGTATGCAATGAGATAAGCATAGAATAGTGATCACCATGCTTCTGCACGCAAAGCTTATGTAACAGAGAGGGACTATATGTGGGGGGAGGGGCTATTTTTACCCCCACAACATTGCAATTTCAAGATGAATTGTTATGATAATCTGAATAGGGAACATTCTAAAAAAATGCATGTTAAGGAAATCATTTATAACAATAACGGTCAGTCGTAGGGAAGTAATTTATGAATTAAACAGGGATGATGCTGAAAATGATGATGATAATAGTAATGTCAGTAATGATTTATCAATATTATGACATCAATGATGTACTCATCTCCATTTCATAGCAATAGTATTAGGGTATATAGAGACCAATTGTTTTGAATATGCACCAAACTACCTTCACTCCCCTGTTTTGTTGACTCTAGCCCCCTGTTTATACAATTCAAGACTCTACCAATGATCATCCTGAAAGCCGATGAAATTCCACTTAACCATTTTGTGTTGTTATGTCAGGAGCCACTCAGGCAACTGGAGTACCTGGAGAGTGAGCCATGGATGGGCCGTCAACCAATCCTGCATTCTCCTCCTCATCGTCCCAACTCACCAGTCGAGGTAACGCCCTGGACGCCACCTGTCGTTACCAACACCATGTCTTCTACCGGTCCTATGCATGTGAGTTTTGCATAAGTACAGTCAAACCTGTCTATAGCGACCACCCGAGGGAAACACAAAAAAGTGGTCTTTGTAGACAGGTGGTCTTTGTAGGCAGGTGGTCTTTGTAGACAGGTTCCTTTGGTACATGATTCAATGAGAAGTCATTTTCAAGGGAAACACAAAATGTGGTCTTTGTAGACAGGTGGTCACTAAAGCAGGCTTGACTGTAATAGCATTTTCATTCCATCTCGTAGTTTTGAAGTTTGCCAATAGTTACATGAGGTGTGATAGCTCAGTGGTGGAGCAGTGGTCTTGTAACAGGGAGGTCCCTGGTTCGAAACCAAGTCGATGCGGTATTGCCCTATGGTAAGGCATTTTAATCCTCATTACCATGTACCTCAGAGAGGACTTTAAGCTGCTGGTCCCCTGGTTTGCTTATACTTACAAGCACACACATGCTTTCTTAGCAGTCAGGTAAAACAAAGCAAAACAAGCAACAGGTATGTTTCTGATCCACAGATCAGTAGCCTGTCTACGCTTTCCTGGTCCATCTGATCAGCCTCACAATAATCTTGAACAAGATTTGGGCTCTGCGCTGTTTCATAAAACTTGTTATCAATAACAAATGTAAAATTCTACGACAAATAGCTGTCAGCCAATCGGATGCTACAATTTCAGTAGCTTATAACAGTTAATTGTATCTTGCAAACAGGGCCCAGTTTCACATTTTAGTTATACCCACTAAAATATGTTGATTCTGCTACATTGTTATTGTTTGAGCAAATAATGTTTCCTTTTGTGATTATATATGTATTTATGTATACCTTCTTCTCTATTACATACACATTGCACATGAAATCAGCTAAATTATATTTTTAACTTCTCTTTTCTAAACCCAGACGGTAAGCAACGGTGTACCTCAGACGGTTACAACCACCCAGTGGAGACGGGAGATCACCCATCAACAACAACCCATAGAGATCACTCCTATTACTAGAGATGTAGCAGAAGAAGTGGAAGCCAGAAAACCAAGGAAGTGAGTTATGACCCTTTCCTTCTAAACCACTTCTCTCATGTCATCTCCCTGTTGCATAATTGACATCTGATTCCTGGAAACTGAAATTCACATTCTCTTCTCTTTCAATTGAACCTGAAACTGGGTGTAAGTTGTTTCGAACAAAAATAAAAATTTAGACTCGCAACTGTCTTCTTTTGTTAACGTCAATTTTAGACCAAGCTTAAACCCACTGTCTGGTATGAATTTCAGTGGAATATTGGGCCTTATATAGACCTTTATATTTAGTATAAGAATATTTCACAACATATCAAAGTTAACTTTTAAGGAACACCTAAATGTGACTGTTCAAACTTGTGGTTGGTTTTATGATTATTTCTGTCAGAATTTAATTATTTTTCAAATAAAAATGATAACTGGAAATACGTTTTAAACATGACTTCATATATAGGCCTAGAGTTTTGCCGTGCAGCATCAAATATTCTGCAATTTATAGCTGTGTAAACAGAAAAATAAATGGTGTGTGATTTTTGTGTGACATGCATAAAGTAATCATTATGCTTCATACCATTTATAGCTATAGCTATGCCTAAAGCAGCATTTTATTATATTCTTGTTGCTTACATTTGTGCTTTCAAGCCTTCAAAAGTAAAAATAAAAGAATATATGTATATTTGCTGCCACTCGCTTCAAGATTACTGTTTAAATGTATTCACTCATATATGTATTGTATCATTGTTAAATTGTTTATTATCATACAATCTTTCACTGTTGAATTGATTCACGCTTCACAAAAGAATTGTTTTGCACATGTTTACTGTTGCTTTGAGTGAGATTAGTCACTGTGGCTCAGTGTTGAAATCACTTACCTTAAAACAGCAAGATCCCATGTTAAAGAGGGGGTGGGAGCTGGGGCTGCAGTGGCCCCTTAAAAAAAAATGAATTCCCATAATCAGGCAAACAGTTGCCCCTTAATTGGGCATTGAGGTTGTCTGTGTTTAATTTTATTATCTTCTTATAAATAATTTTTGCATCTTACAATTACCTTTGTACTGTCGAAACACTTTTTATGTGCTTAGTTACTTCACTTTCTCACAAATTTTTAAAAGGGAAAGTTGGTATAAGGGCAGGAAAAGGTAGCTACCATGATGACATTATGCTACTTTGAAAGAAAACTACATCTACATGCAGCAATACCCTGATTATAACATATCAAGAAACTGCATTTGCTTAAATGTCTTGATTTATATCCTCAGTCTTGAACCTCCTGTAAGTCTTGTTGAAGATGTGATCGAACCGCCTACAGTCTCTCCGTAGGTCATCTCATAGAAATTCATATTTCAAGTGTGACCCCGACCCCCCCCCCCCCCATTCCTTGCTAAGAATCCCCTCCCCCCGACAGCCTCCCTCGAACCCTTTTCATAAGCTGTGTTTGTTTGTACCATTTGACATTGACCATGTCTCGCTCTCTTTAAATCTGCCCTTCCCCCCCCCCCCCCCCCCCCCGCCCCCACACTTCTTGTGTGCTTTGCAGTGAAGCTTACCCTCTCTCTACTGTTATCACTAACTAAGTAATGAAAATCAAATCAAATCAATTTATTTAAATAAACTAGAACATATCATACTGAAATACTGTAGCCTAACCCTCCCCCAGAAAAAATATCAATGTCCGTTTTGCATGTTTATATGCAGTGTGTATGAATAAAACTGTTGTTTGAAATTGACAAATTGTCTTTAAGAATCCAAGAATACAACTTTATTTTTGTATTGATGCACACTCAAAGCTCTTCCAGAATCTTCAGAATTTGGTACTTACAATTGTAAGAATTTTAAAAAAAAATTCTAGTCCACCCATTAACTACAATATCCTAGTTTCTATCATAAACAAAACAATGTTTTTATCTTTATTTTACATTTTTCTTTATTTTAAACTCTGAATCCTTTTATTACTTAAAATATTCTGTCAATCTATGTATATTGTTAATATTTTAACTGAAGAACGGATTACTAATTTATTTTCTTTCTACAGCTAAATTGCATTTTTGTATTTATCCGTTTTTATTGAAGACTCAGCACTAACTTTAATATGTTTGTGATTTTGAGCTTTTAGTGTTACTAAGCATTTTTGCCAATATGTTTGTGATTTTGTTATTGTAGTTAACAATCTACTCATTCTAGATCATTACAGAAGATACATATCAAATTAAACATTCTAGATCTCCAATTTATAATACTAATACAAAGCAGTCTTATGCTAGGTTATGCAGGTATTTATGCCATCATTTTCCTTTCAGAGGCCACAATTAATCTATAATTCAATTGGCCTGGCATCACAAAGAGTTTTCACACACGGTTTAATGCTCAAAAATTTGATTTAATTTCCATATAATCATTTTAATTGCAATCAGGAGTACTTCATAAAGTTAAATAGTGTTTTTTTTTCCACCCAACAACAAAAATTGAATCTTTCATAGTCCTGTCTTAGGTTTTAAAATCATGTCAAAAAATTATACTGTTGAGCTAACAAAATCTTTCACAAGATGAGGAAGGTGTAGAGAAAATGTGATGGAAAGAGAAAACTTATAACTATTAGGATATGTTTTCACATAATTTATTTTGTTTGTTTGTTCACTTTGTTTCCACGGAACTGCAGTTGTGTACATCTACAAGTCATTTCCATCTAAGGATTTTTGTTTTGTTTTTGGTGATAATATGTTAAATGTTGCTTTCGCATGATTTGCCTAACATCGTCATGTTATACTTTTTGAAAATAACATGCTATGTGACTGTTGATTTGATATCTAATTTTCTTGATCTGTAGATTTTAAAAGTGATTAGAAGATATTTATTTCATGTTTTCACTGATGATCATATCTGAAGTGGGATGAGCTTTTGATCCAGAGAGAAATCTTCAGCATTGTCAAAAATTGCCAACTGTCGCAAGGATATTATAAAGCTTATTTAGTTTGTGACATTCAGTTGACTCTGTTTTACTCATTGATACCAGAGCAATATTGGGAATGAAACTGATATTTATCTATCTGTTTAACTTCTATGCCTTCATTGTCAATTCTAAGATTTATTATGTAATATATTTTTTTCAACATGACAGTAAATTATTGCAGCTGCATCCTTTCAATTTAATGAGATTTAATTTGAGGTGCCTTATTAAAAAAAAAATTAAAATATCTGTAGACCTTGATGTTCAATCATGTCCTTATTTTTTCATCAACATTTTATTCCCATTATCTTCCAGGGTTGTTGAAGCAAGATTCACCCCTCGCTATGTGCGGGAAGTCAATGCTGCTCCCCCACCCTCCCAGCAGGCACCCCTACCCCAGATGGCCAGTACCCCACCCCAGCCCAGGGTGATACAGTACCAGGAGCAGCCACCCCGCCCCATGGCTCCGGAGCCCCCTATCACAGTGGTGCGGCTCCACCCCGTGGAGCTTGGTCCGATCCAGGTGGTCCCTATCGAGGCTCAGGTCATGGTTGACAGGCAGGTTCAATACCCGGTCCAAGACACCACACAGCAAGGTAAAAATTACCTTAGATAGAATCCCTATATTCAAAAAGTTACCCAACATTTTCTACAGCAGCATTTGCTCTGGATTAAGGTTCTATGGTTATGGTTCAGGTTGCAATTGGATTTTTGGTTGGGTTTAGGGTTGGTTTTAAGGTTAGGGTTAATGGTTGGGTACAGTGTTTGAAGAGATGTTGCATCGAGCTCAAGAAAAGCGGGTGCTGCTTCAAATGATCAGAGAGAGACAGAAGAAATGGCATGGAAAGAAGAAGAGTGGAAGACCTCGTAAAGGCTTTCTAGATGAGTTAATCGCAGAATGTGGATCAGCAGCATATGAAATGCTGAAACGATTGGCTCAAATCAAAGGTACTTGGAGAGACACTTGATGTAGAATTCTGATTGGGCCACTGGAGCTGTCATAAACTGACAGATCACTATTGATGATGATGATAGTGTTTGGTCAAGAGGTGAAGTTATGAATTGTAGGAAATTGACCATGTAGCATTTGTCAATGGAGTCATAGGACTGTTTTGATACTCAATGGGGTGCAGCATGGTCTATAATATGAGGTATCTTAGTACCCTGAGGAGGAGGATTTATATTGTTTTCTGCTGTCTATTAATTTTTTACCCCTCATCCACAGGTGCACCTGTCCAGGCACCAGTCAACAGTCAACAGTACCAGGCTCCACCAACACAACTCCAAGAGAGTGTGGCAACCCCTCCCTCATATGGTTCAGTCATGGCCAGACCTCCATCACCTAGTTTTGGTGTTATGAACAGCTCTGCCCCTCAAGTCTCCCATGGTGTTGTCCAGAGCCCACCCTCCTCCTCTATGTCTTACGAGACAGTCCCGCGTGCCTCAGCACCCTCGTCTTACTCCACCGTGCAGCAGGTCTCACCGCCGCTGTCCTATGGAACGGTCCAGGGCACTCCGCAGCGGGCAGTGATGACAAGCCCCGGCCAGACGTCATCTACCATTACTCAGCAGAGGATTGAGGTGCGGGAGATCACCCACACCGAGAGCATACCCGTATCGCACACCCCTCAGCAACCGCAACAGCAACAGCCACAAGTTCAGCCACAGCAGCAGCAGCAGCAACAAGAACCACTAATGCAGCAGCTGACCCAGCAACAGGTTCAACAAGACGTACCATCACAACCAGAACAAGCACCGGTGTCGCCCGCCGAGCAGCCATCGCCAACACCCAACGAGCGCCTGCTCAACCAGCCTAAACCACCGGTGCAGTACCCGACGTTCAGTGATAGACACCGTAAGGCTGCTAAGGGTCCTGCTGATGACTCTCTACCTAACGGTGGGGCAGGATACAGGACCATATATGACAACAAGAGACAAAGGTCTTCACTTGGCAAGTAAGTCAATGTTCCATTCCTACTTTTTCTTTGTAAAATGCAATTGAAAAATGCTTTTCCACAATGCTGAGTCGATTCTTTCAAAGCTAAACATTATGAAATATTTGTTGATCCATTGTTTCCTTTTTCATGTAATTGCTTTAAATTATATTTTAATTGCATATATAGTGACATATAAATGTAATCAATACATTTAAAGATGTACATGCATTAGAGCAATCAGGGAAAAGCAAAGTGATAATTTTTTATTGATTCTAAGCGACAAGAATTTATTGTTTGTAGCATGAAAGTATTGGTCAAAAACATTGATCATGTCTTGTCTTTGATGTTTTCATTCCAAATCAATTATGTATATTTTTAGGTGAAATAGGTTATCTTTTTTTTTACTAATGCCTGACCGATTACAATTTTTACTTTCGACTGATTAATTAAACCTTGAACAGCTGATGGAGAATACTGCCTTCTACGTCCATGAAATCATGATTACCATTCTGCATTCTCTTAGCTGTATGTCTGTGATTATCTTGCTGGCAACTAAAGGGGGCAGCATTCACTTTTGGATCACAGAAACTGCATGTAATATTGATGTCTCTCTGTCTCTCTCTTGTGAATCTCTGTCTGTTTCTCTCTCTCTCTCTCTCTCTCTTTCTTTCTCTCTCCCTTTCTCTCTCCTTTTCTCTCTCTCTCCTACTCTCTCTCTCTCTCTCTATTTCTCTCCTGCTCTCTCTCTCTCTCTCTCTCTCTCATTCTTTCCACTCAATTTCTCCTTATCTTTATATCCATCACATTTTGTTGCTATGACAACAGCAAACATTTGATGATCTGATAGCAATTTAATTATTGTCATAGTGGAAATTAACATTTGCCTCTTATAAACATAACTTTATTAGCATAATATACACATCACAATGTTAGCCTTTATTTAATATGATTTCCTGTATAAGGTTATTGTGTAGAGTGGAGAAATATTTTTTGATACTTTACTGTCCACATCGGTTTAGTTTTCTGGCTTCTCTGACTGGTGTGCTGAATACTTTATTCGAAATCATGTATTCGCTTAAAGTAGAGGCTTGATGCATCTTTATTGAAACAGTTAATGGGATTTTGTTTCACTCCATATTACTGAAATCATAGTTTCCCTTGAATTTACTTGGTCCAATTCTAACCTGAAATACAGTATTGTAGTTAGTTCATGAATATAGCCTAGTGAGCTGAAATTAAGAAGTATGAAAAGCGCTTGGGCTATTCCTAAATAAGTGTGTTCCTAAATTAGATGAATACCATTGATGGTTTCAAATATATATATTAGAGACAACGATCTTTATTTCATACCCTAAATAAGGCCTCGGGTCTCTTCCTTGTGATATTAATTCAAGCTACACCAACATCCATGCTAACTCAAATATTAACCCTTCAATTAATCACCTTGACACAAAAAACCCGGCCCACTGATCAGATCATCTGCGCCAACACTTGACATTTTGCCGGTCGAATTTCAGATTTTGTTTCCTCGCTCTCTGTCACATGCTCAAAGTCAATATTTGAGAATTGGTCCCTCTTTTAATAAGGAGTGTATTCAATGATTAACCTCGCAATTGTAGGTAGAGTTAGAGTTATTTATGGTATCTTTGAAGGAGGATTTGTTTGAATTATGTAATACACTCTCCATCTTGTAATACATCAAGGAGAAATTCATCAGACCCGCTTTTTCGTTTCCTTCTCCATTTTCTCTACGTGCCCCATATGTTTGTTTTGTTTCGCCTTATGCAGCATGATAAATCTGATCAAATTTTCTCCTGCTGTTTGGCCGTCTTTATCTTAAAAAGACATTAGTGCAGCAACTCTATGTAAAGCCCTTCTGGCACTCAATCATCCGATGATATTTCGATCTCTTTACTTTTCTCGCTTTTGTGATTCATGCTTTTTCTTTTGTTCACCTTCCTCATGATATCCTAATTTCCAATGTTGATCCTCAAGATAAATTTTCTTCTTTTCCTTCTTGAATTCTTGATCATCCTCTAATTTGTAATTTTTTCTTAAAATATTCAACTTTTTCCTTCAAATTTCCTTTGATCTAGTTTTTCATAAAATAAATATTTTTGTTATTATTAGTAGTAGTATTATTATGTTGTGTTTTTTTTTTTTGGGGGGGGGCTCAATGTTTTTTGTTTCCTCTGTAATTCATCACCCTACCCCCAATAATATTTGCTGCACAGGCTCTTTGAAGTAAAGAACATCAGGTCAGTTTGTACAGTGGACACTAAATGTAATTATATGGTGTTGAGCAAAGTCCAACAGTTATAAATGTAGCAAAGTAATTACAGGTGAGTTGTCAAGGATCATATGTGGACCAAAAAAAAAGAGGTAAAAACTTAAAACATGAAATAGTTGAATGAAGACTGGAGAGTACATCAGGTCTGATTATTCAGACATGATGGTTCTACCAATTAAGTGTCTGTTTGAAACCAAAATTATGCCCCAGTATATTTTTTTCAGTGACATAATTTTATTATGACATATTATGAGAGGGGGTGGGGGCTCAGTTGCATTATCGATGTTAAGAGAAGTGTGCAGCTCTCCCTGAAAACTTGTACCTTTTTTAATAGTATACGATTTAAGGAAATGTGCTTTGGTGTAAAAGGGGAATACATTCTTGTTGAATTCAGGGATAGTTATCAAAATGAAAAATATTGTAAGCCCTTTGGCACTATAGTTCTGCAAGACGGGAATAATATGAACATGCCCCTTAAGCTTTGAATCCCCCCTCCCCCTCAAAAAAAAATGAGATTAAATGTGCTATGTGAATGCAGACTTGGCCTCAATATACCTGTCAAGTGCAGATATATCACTACCCACTGTAAGAGGGCTTTTAATTGAATTGGTGAAAGCTCTGATTTAGCCAGGAGTCTTGGCTGATAAATCAACCTGTGTGCAGATACATGAACGCAGTCGCTGGCTTCGTGTTTAGGAATACTGTACATTGATCGCTCAAAAGGTCACTGTCTATCTTGAATGTCAAGTCGTCTATTGTTTTTTTACGTGGGTCTATCGCTTCCCAATTAGCGGACATAAAACTTGAATTGGGCACCCGTTAATCACTTGACGCAATCTTATCCTGCCGCTTCATATGATGTTCCAACACTTGCTTTGGCTACATTTTGTCTTGGATTTATTTTTTCATAGATGTAAGATTAGAGTTATGGATGCAATTAAGTTTTAGGATAGGATCATGGTTATGATATAAGTGTAGCAATCATATAAAAAGAGGTAATACGGTGGATTCACAATACTCCACGCCATCTAGTGACATCAGCTAGTGTTTAGTCGATTCCAAGTGATGCAATATGGAAAACTGTCAACAAAATATCAGCTTCTGCATAGTGATAAAATCAGAAGTTTTGGTGGGGAATGTGTGAAAAGTTTTTTCAGGGTAACATTTTGCGCTGATTCCAAAAAAAAAATGAACATACTCATGCTTTGGTCATCTCGGCCACTTTTTGGCTAAAACTGACCATTACGATCACTTTTGGTCAGGGGTGCTCTTCCAACCGTCATTATCAGCAAAGGAGATTTGATGGGCCTATTTTATGTAAAAATGTGCCCTGATGCTAGAAAAATTGGTCAAATTAACCCCCTTAAACAACAATATGGTCATTTGGTCACTTTTGGGGCCAAAAAATGACCACTTGTATTGATTTTTTGTCCAAAATCAGGCCCAATATTTCAGTCAGATTCAATGGATGGATGGGTTTTGACATCCAAATTCAATATAAAAATGTGCGTTGATATCAGAACAATCAATCTCATTGAATGAATTTACACAATCCGGACCATTTTGGTCATTTCGATCGGTGGCCAGCATTTTGCTGCGCTGCACTGGTTGAAGGATGTCAATCCACACGTTGAAAACTTGGCCTCAATGTCACGGATTGCTGGTGGGGCGCTGTTAATTGTGAATCTACCCTATTGTCTACAGACAATTAGCATATATGAAATGAACCTCAAAAAAACTTTACCTGGCAATATATGGGCTAGTGGTAAAAGAATATCAAGAAATAAAAGGAAAACTTACTATGGAACTCAAGTCAGATTTGGGTTCTGTGTAAGCAATATTCTATGTGCGTGCGTACAGTGCATCGACTAGTCCCCTCTCAAATCACTGATATCAGTGAATTGAGAGTGTATCTGAACTTGCAACATCAATATTTGAAGCTCACATTTTGATTTTAATAAATATAGCCATATAGAACCCCAAACATACTTCAGCTAAACGCTTTTTGGTAATCGGTAGACTTTAAGTTTAGTCTGAGTTTAAGGGGTTGAGGTAATGAATTTGGCTTGTGTAGAAAATTCATCACAGCAATTGTCACCACACCCATGTGTCATGTAACCTTACCCTCTCCTTGATTGCTTCTTCATGACATGACAAAAAGATGAACGCAAATTTGCATTGATCCATTCAACATTATCCAAGCATTTGTTACAATGCATGCCAATATTTTCTAAGTGTGCCAGAAAATTAGTTTAATCTTTGTGAACATTCTTGTATTCAGCATTGTTTTTTGTTTGACAATATAACATGTTTTCTGGCACCTTTTACTTGAGCAGCTATTTCTTAAAGCCCATGCAATTGTGATAGTTCATTACCGGTAACCCTTTTCCGTGTAACTCACATGTAGCTTATAAGCATTTGTTTTCCTCAAACATTTTACTCAAATTTTGCATTTGAAAACAAAAGTGATTTGGCATGTATATATTCTATGGGAACAAACTAAAAAAATGCATACACCTGTTTCTAAGAGGGAAAAAATTGTTTTTAACTCATGTGTATCATCACTTTTGTGGCAGGTTTTGCCAGTTTAATAAAAGCATTAATTAGAGAAGAACTTACGGTATATATTGATTTTGAAGTATACCAACACTTCTCTTGTTTGATGCCCTTATTTAAAATCACTCCACAGTGATTCATTCCCCAATGATATAGCATGAAGATGGTAAACATAT